TGTTCATCTTCCATGAAGGTTTCAAGATTACTTCTGGAATGAACGCCATGCACAAAAAGTTTTTTCTGGGTTTTGCCAGCAATGAAGAACACTTGGGAAAATGCTTCAGCTTTTCAAAAACAGCACACTTCAAATAATTTTGTACGTGGCATTGACGAAGATTGAGAATCTAAAATTATGCATCCAGATCGACTTTCATATGTATTATTTGAAGCACTATTCATTACCTTCGAACACGCTCACGAACATTACCCTGCAAGGCCTGCACGCAATAAGGCAGGCCCACCAAATTAATGGAAAAGATAGAAGTTTAACAAATTTCCTTATTTGTATTTCATTTGGGATGGATGTCATAAGTGATAACTTACGTAATTTCGAGTTATTACGTTTCTGCTTCGGTGGTTCTGCTTCAACCACACAATACAATACTGTATTTTTCATTTCCTCAATATTGTACAGCTCGCATGATGAACTCTCGTTTTTCACCGAATAAATGTTGAATTTAATAATATGATTGTCAGTGATGATAGGTATACCAACGCCATTCATCATGAAAGCCATTCTCATTTCCACCTTTTTTGAAGCACGAATTCCGCACATTGACTCTGGATTGATCATATTATAGCTTCTTGAAATCATAGAATTGAACTAATGTATATGCATCGACTGAAGACCAAATTAAAGTACTTGAGCAAATTACGAAGTTTTTCCACACATGTCACATTTTCTTTCAAAATTGTTATGCTGCTGTAGGCTGAGTCGAGGTAGGAGTCTTCCAGCTAAAAATTAATTTTAGCGCATGCGATGATCTCACAAAATTCGTAGATTCCCTTCCTCGATTGATTTAGATTCAATGAATTATTATGCCATGCATACAAGTACGTACTTATCAATAGAAATTGATCCAATAAGTAGCAGAGTATATTTGAATATACAGCATGCGTAAAAAATTTTGAGTTAATTGCTGCTGAAATATTCCTTTGGCGTTAGGAAATCGCAACCTTCAAGATCTTTGCAGACCAACACATGCGCTTGTGTTGCACTGAGATTAAATTTGATATTTTCTAGCATCGTGGGTCGGTCAGGATGTGAAAGGTACAGTATTTCGTTTAGGGAAGTAAATATTCATTGGCTCTTGTTTGAAAGTCTGTGGTGGGTCGTGAATGTCGTTTTATCGCTCAACTTCCTGAGAAAAGTCCATCATCTCCTCCATGCATTTTCAACGCAAGGGCCAATAGAGGGCCATTCTTTTTTTTTTCAGATGAAGTCGGTGTACTTTATTGTGCATTTAATGCAGCTCAAAAAATGAAGTGTGCAAGATGTGGAAAAATTTTAAAAGCAGGAAGCGAACATATTTTGTGATATCAAGGAAAGTACAGACAATTTCAGGATCTCATCAGTTTCCCTACAGCATATGCTGGAACACATTTTTCTCTGCACAAAAAAGGCCTACTATACATACCATAAACATGTAAAGTACAGTATCTGTATAAAAACATTAAAAGCCAATAAAAAATGAGCTAGTAAAAACTGCATGTGCATTTAACTTCGTGTCTTACCAGGAATGTTATTTATGACCTTCATTCAGGAGACAAGAAAACAGCAAGTTATGCAAAAATTCCCTGCAGGATCGACTTGTGACGGGTACCCTTTGTAGCTTTTTCATTAATTCTGAACTCTTGGGGAACACCAGGAACTGGCTCAGATCAGGACCAATGGCCTTTGATATAGAAAAAAGTACCATCATGTCCTGGTTTATGCTGCACATATTTCTGGAGTATGCCGAACCGTCCATGATTTCTGTTATTTTACACATTTAGAGACAAGAGAGACAAAATCGCACAATTAGATAACGTCATTGCCAAGCAGCGAATGTTCCAGAGGAGGCAATCTTCGAATATTTTTCAGAGATTCTTATTTTCTTGTAAATATGTTGTCACTCTGATACTCTGCCATGAACTGCTTGAGCAGAAATAAGGCGAATGAATTTTCAGGGCATATTGGAAAGAAATCACAAACCAATCTAATGCTGCATTTTGTATTCCATTTTTGTAGAATTTATAACCTTATTACATACAGTATTATATACAGTACATTGTATGATGCTCATATGTTTCCTATCAAATTCCAGTCAGCTTTCTTGAGGAATACAGTCAACCCCCGTCTAACGGACTTGATTTGTGCAAGGGACAAGTCCGTTAGACAAAAAGTCCTTTACACAAATTCATGAACATATTTTGTGATATCAAGGAAAGTACAGACAATTTCAGGATCTCATCAGTTTCCCTACAGCATATGCTGGAACACATTTTTCTCTGCACAAAAAAGGCCTACTATACATACCATAAACATGTATAGTATCTGTATAAAAACATTAAAAGCCAATAAAAAATGAGCTAGTAAAAACTGCATGTGCATTTAACTTCGTGTCCCACCAGGAATGTTATTTATGACCTTCATTCAGGAGACAAGAAAACAGCAAGTTATGCAAAAATTCCCTGCAGGATCGACTTGTGACGGGTACCCTTTGTAGCTTATTCATTAATTCTGAACTCTTGGGGAACACCAGGAACTGGCTCAGATCAGGACCAATGGCCTTTGATATAGAAAAAAGTACCATCATATCCTGATTTATGCTGCACATATTTCTGGAGTATGCCGAACCGTCCATGATTTCTGTTATTTTACACATTTAGAGACAAGAGAGACAAAATCACACAATTAGCCCTTCTGCGGCTAAGTCGGACTTTTTTTGCAGATTTTTGTGTCACTCCAGAGTGGAATTTTAAAAAACCTCAACAGTGTGTGCAGGGCAAAGTTGGGAAAAATCCTGGCATTTTTTTAATTTTCCACAGAAAAATTTCACCTGGAAATAAAAAAATGAAAGCTTCAAGGCTCCCCTTTTTTTCCCTGGCCTTGTGTTGTTTCCCCATTCAAAGATTAAATTTAAGCTTGAAAGCCAGGAGCCCAGGCTGGAGGTCAATACGGAAAAAGTCCGACTCAGGACTTTCAGAGCATTTCATTATCCCCCACCTGGCAGGGGTTGCATAACCTTGTGCAAAAATATAATGCACACCCATCAGGAAAAAGTCCAACTTAGCCCTGGGATGGAAAGGAGGCTGCTGCCGTCCAAGGGTTAAATAACGTCATTGCTAAGCAGCAAATGGTCCAGCAGAGGCAATCTTGGAATATTTTTCAGAGATTTTTATCTTCTTGTAAATATGTTGGTACTCTGATACTATACCATTAACTGCTTGAGCAGAAATAACGCGACTGAATTTTCAGGGCATATTGGAAAGAAATCACAAACCAATCTAATGCTGCATTTCGTATTCAATTTTTGTAGAATTTATAACCTTATTAAATATAGTTTTATACATTGTATGATGCTCATATGTTTCCTATAAAATTTCAGTCAACTTTCTTGAGGAATATAGAAACTACAGTATATGCGAGCAGTTTAATGTCAGACCTGTTAGGGCAGTGATGCCAGGATTCATTTGCAAAATGCGTAATAGAAAACAAGAAGATCAGAAAAGGAAAAGTTCAGAAGAATCCCAGAGATTTTTTTTGTAGAAAAAATTTCCTACAAATATCCTTCACACTGCTGTGTAGCATTTTTCACATTCCTTCCATAGTATTAGTCTTTAGGGATTTCAAACAAAGTGGATTCAACTTTCCTGCGTTTTTGTGAGCTTTGGGTACACAGCCAAATCTGTCTTCTTTAGTAATCTTTGGTCAAACCAAACGCACAAGTGTGTAAAAATTTCCCAGCACTGCCATGCATTTGGACCCACTGCCATCTCATGTTATCATGCAAACTTGAAAACATCTTGAATGAGTGATACTTTTGCATTGTCTACAAAAATTATAATTTATGGAATGCTGATGTTATTCTTTTAGGATAATCAGCCTTATATTAGGTAATATAGGTACAGTGCATGAGAGGGTTTCTCGCGTGAGTTGTACTTCGTAGAGCATACAGGAAGGACTTTTCGGAAAAGTAGAAAATTGGGCAGAAATGGCCTAATCTATTTATAATCGCTGGCCGGCCAAGAAAAATGTCTTTAATTCATTCGCAGCCCTGTCAACAGCAGTTTCACATAATTTTTCATAAAGAGTTCATGCAATATATTCCAGACGGACCTTGCTTAATCGAGTCGGGTCCGCGGTCATTTTGATGCATTGTTAATTGGAAGTTCAACCAGATATTATGGCAGTTCGCTTTACCCGCAAAAAGCACCTGGTCGATTCCTCAACTACTGCAAATGTTATTGCTAATTTCAGTGGTGAATTGTATCGGAAGACTTGGTGTTGATTCTATTCGTGCGGTCCAACTTTATTTAGTCACTCCTCTTCAGCTGATGCATTGGGTCCATGTTGTGCATTGTCAGGCCTTTGACAATGCACGGATTGACGTCGTTCAATCCATATTGAGAAGTTTTTAAAAGGCTACCTCTTCAGTTTTTCCTTGTTGCATATTTGAACGCTTGGAAGTTTTCGCTCCTTTGCAGTTTTCTTGCTGTTTTATACCAGAACGAAGATTTCGACTCAGTTTCAAATCGAGTTATACACGGCAGATAGTTTAATTCGTCATACTATATAACTTAATCCCCCAACAATCCACTTTAGCTGCCACTCACGCAAGGGATAAAATCCAAACGTTTGCTCGCTGAGCAAAAAACTCCTGAAATTATCCCAAGGTTCAGTAGTTTCTTGTCGTCCATGGACGATGCAACTATCATTGCGATTTTAACATACTGTACATGAATTCGAATTCTTATACAACAACTCAGCGTGTTTAAAAAAAAATAAATGATACGAAAAAGGGCAAGTAAAGATTTTGCCGCGTATAACGTCGTCTTATGCTGCCACTTAATCACGGTGAAAATCGGGGTTCTATAAGTTGGCTTTTTAATGACTTCAATCATTGATTCCAGCAGACCTGAACTTATATATATATTCTTCGAAAATTTATTTTTGTTCTGATCCTAAACATTATGGGGAGAATCACCCCGTTCGTCATCTCGGTCAGTTTACTCATAAATCCAGTGCAGAGCATCAGTGTAACGCAACAATTTTCCAAGATTTGTGACGGCACTCTTCTAAGTCCGTCGGAAATCGTTACAGTGACGTCAGACATCGAGTGTGCACTTCGTTGTAACGCAAAAAAAGTTTGCAATGCATTTAGCTTACAGAAAACATCCGGAAGCCCTCCGGAGAGGACATGTCGATTATCCATGGGCTCATTTACCTGGGATTCCAGCACAGAAGAGACACTCTATCACCGTGAGTTTACTCCGATTTGAATTCCAGATTTCTGCGTACTTTTCCAGTGGGTTTTGGCTACTAAATTTGTGATAGGCTTCTCATTCTGAAAAGCGCGATTTTCAAACGCTCTTGAGAATGAGCGTAGATCCGTAGAACCTCAAAAAGTTTGGAATTTTCTTTAATAATTGCTTTTAAAGAGATTCCATCTTACATTACAGTATCAATCGAAAATCCCTTCAAATACACTTTGATGAAGAACGGAGGTTACTACATTTCTTACACGACCCAAAAAATGTATTTCGACAATATCAAGCATTGTGACAACGAAGGTGCAACAACGGCACCGTGTTACAAAGCAGCAGACCAAGAAATCATCGTAAGCCTGCTACAAATTAATAAGCAATTCGTATCAGGAACCATGCTGACGTCGAATCCTTACTCTGGTGGTCGATGGGTCACCGTTGACGGTATTTGATTTTCCAGACCTTTACACGCATACATAACAGACACTTGATTTTGTTGGGAAGCACTCGATTGCAGCGTAAAATTCTGTTCAAGGAGAAATTGAAAGATGATGACTGATTCTTCCAGGAGACGTTTTCAACAGCGGCAACAAGCTGAGCGACCCTCTTCAGAAATGGTCATCGTTGAACCCCAATGACGGTGGAATCCTTCTGGTGTCAAGTAGCAATGGGATCAAACTGGATTGGGCTGACGATTCGTATACCCGAACTAGTTGGCCAGTGTCCATCATTTGTCGAAAATATTTTGGCTACGAAAGGTCTCCAATCAACGGGATTTATTACAATTTGCATCACGAACCAGTTTCCGGTCACGACGCAGCTCAACGAATCTGCGAATCCGAAGGAGGACGCCTCGCCAATCTCTTCAATGTCACGAATTTCGCCGCTGTTGAAGGATATCGCATTCAAGCCACCCTTTCGAAGACAAGGGTTCTAGTCGGTGGAACAGACGCAAAAACAGAGGGAACCTGGGTCATGCCTGATGGTGTTCCATTCTAAATTTGTTCATTTGAATGGTCTATGAGTTTGTAAATTGAGTATACACACTGCAAGGTTAATTTCTTGGGGAAAATCACTCTTAACACAAATCTCTCCACAATTCCTTGAAGTCCAACAATGTCCCGGGCATCAATGCCACGAAGAATATTCACGATATGCTTTTGACAAACGAATCCATTCTTACGATTATCCCGGGAATATGCATGTCGCAGATTTTTTTGTTCATCATTTTCCCTGCATTGAGTCCCTCTTTTAAGCAGTGAAAAATTCCCGAATTTCAGCCTCCATCTAAAGAATTCATTCTTTAAAATGGGGCTTCTCACATTGCGAAGCACTGGCGTGCAAATCTTCATGCTGATATTTTTCCAGACAAATTTATTTGCAAGATATTGATCACAGCAACCAAAAATTTGTATTTCAGTCTTAGAAAGCAGCTTTTCTCATCCCATTCAGATTCTCACCAGACAAAAGAAAACATGTGCCTTGATAAAGGAGTAAAGTACCAAAAGTTATGAATAAAGAAAAATATTTTTTTTTAATATAGCCCAAACTCTTTCAACCAAGTGCAATTAAAAAAATATTTTAAGCTTCTTTCTGTGCCAACCTGTTTGAAGTTGAAGCCATAAGAATCAATATATCCTCTACCATCCAGCCACTTACACAGTTAATGAAAAAAGTTTATCATTCTCCATTGAATGTTGATCCTGGTTTAAATCAATTTCCCCACGAAAAATTCATGCACTGCCAAAGTTATTTGGTACTAGTTGGGGTTTTGATTTTTTTTACGCCAATCCCAAGCACAATTGCAAGCCTGAAAAAATAAGTGCACAATTGCAATCACTATCTCAATGAGTGAAAAAATGTATTCCCCAATCAAAATTTTAATGATTGTGGTTGTGATTATGCTAAGTTGTGGCACAATTAACAACCCTGGTCACAAATATCTAGACAAAGAGCATGAATAATTTTGACTGCCCAGTGAGGAAGGAACTATCCAAATTTTATCCAAATATTCTCCAAAGCACAAAGCATGTCCTAATACTATCCAAATGATGTCTGCCATATCTGTAATTTGTCCAAAACTGATCCCAACATGTCCTTCATGGGAGAGTTCCACAGAAAATTTATCCAAACAGGTCTATTCTGGCCTTGCCTGATATGGACGAGTTTGGATAACTTGTCCTGTTATCCAAGGTCACAGACAAGTTTTCCAAACCTGGGACTTCTTTACCATAAGTTCCTGGGAAAAAAGGTTTGATGGGGTGTGGCATGAATCAGCATGAGGTTTGTGCGCCAGTCATCACCTTTGTGCTCATTGAATTTGCTTTGAAAGCTTTTTTCTACACAAAGAAGGTTATGTTTTCCCCTAAGAAGATGCGATTTGATCGATTTTTTTTCTTTTTTCGCAGGAAACACGCACATTCTTGCCAATCGCGTCAATGATCCTGATCAACTGTGGACTGCTAACGAACCGAGCGAAGAAACAAAGGAGAATTGTCTTTCTTATAATGCTGGCGAAACCGGGCTTACTGATGCATTTTGTGATTCAACACAAGTGGGCGATAAGTTTCTGTGCGAAATTGTCGTTTAGCGTTGCCCAAAAAACGAGAGACTGAAGCTGACGATGCATTGCGAAAACAAAAACCATGATGCGGTTGACCTGATTTTCACTGAATGATTGGAACTAAGCGCAACCTTTTTTTCAGTGTTTGCCCTTTAATCTGCGGAATACGGTATCCGAAAAACCATCCTGGAAGTTTTACTTCTACACGAGTCCACGTTTGTCTGCAGCAAAATACAAACGCAAAGCAAAGCTTGACTCATACGATCATGTCCCGTACTCTGACGACGAAATAATGTGCTTAAAATTTCTTTCAGGGTTTCCAGATGTTTATATACTGTTGGTACTCTCAGACGCTGAAAAAGCATTGCTCGCGCTTATACTGCGTAAACATTTTGAAGGAATTTTTTTCCTTGCGACAAAAATGCTCGATTACCTAATCAAAACCTTCCAATATTGACACCTCCCAGAGTCAAAGTTTTTTTATGATCCTTCGAAATTTGACTTAGTGAGGTTTTACTGTATTTAATGTCTCCGGTCAGCTAGGTCATCATGCAACACAAACATTAAGGTTTTCCAAACGCATCGTTACGCACAACCTTTTTCTAAGGATTTGAATGCATGCGTCAACAATGGAACAAAGGAAAGTCAACAGCAGTTATCCAAATGGAAAAAACCTTGAGGTCAATCCCGGTCGAAAATTATCAGGGAACTCTCGGGTATTTTCATTCTTTCACAACGATGAGTGAACCTGTGTGGAACTCTTCTCCTTGGGCTGATATATGCAATTGCTGAAAATGTGACGAGATTTATCGGAAATCTTTCTACTCTTTCATAGCAGCAAAAATTAAAATTACTCATGCCTAAATATGTTCTTCGTCGTACATTCGTTGGAATTCAATGCTTTGTTGAAATAAGTACTGCATTCTAATTTCTTTTTGTTGAGTCCGATAGAATATTTTCAGAAAGTTCTTCAATTCCAAATGAGATTCATCGATCAGCGCAGAAGATTTCGGCTATGAAGTGGTGACCTCGTTTTAAGCTTTCCTTCCATCCAGAATGAGTAAAACGCAGGTCATCATTTTGAAAGGAACCAAGGAAACATAATACAGTATTGCCCCTCACGCAAGGCAAATATTGCGAAAGATTACTTGGTTAACGAAAAAAAAACCTGATATGAGCCTCTTTTTTAGTAATGTTTTCGAGTTCGTGGACGACGGAACTCTGCGCGATTCCAAAGTTGCTTTTCACAATTTGTTGTAAAAGTGGGGCGTTTTGCGAAAAAGTTCTGCACCGTATCGGCAAAATCGAAGAAGATTTTTCGGTGTGAAAACATTCGCTTGTAACGCGTCGTCGTCATGGCACTTCATCGGGATTAAAAATTACTATTCTGTTTTTGAATTACCTTGCTTTACAATGACACTATTCATTATTTCGAGCAGACAAATCGAAAATAGTTTTTCTGTTGGTAAACAAGTGAACTCATCGTGATGCTAAGCTTGTTCTGGAGGATTATCCCGTTCTTTATCTCGGGCAGTTTCCTCATAAATCCCGTGCAGAACATCAACATTAAGAGAAAATTCTCCAGGATTCGTGACGGCATCATTCTGGCTCCGTCAGAAATCGTTACAGTCACGTCGGCCCTGGATTGTGCACGTCATTGCAATGCCAAAAAGGTTTGCAATGCCTTCAGCTTACAAAGTAAATCAGGAAACTCTCATGAAAGGAAATGTCGATTATCCATCGGATCGTTTTCGTGGGATGTGAGCACAGAAGATTCCCTTTATCACAGTGAGTTTACTCCCCATTGAATGTCAGATTTCGACGTACGCTCTACAGTACTTCCAACGATTTTGGAGACTTAAATGTAAAAGAAGCTCCTCTCAAATCACTTCAATTCGAAAATGAGCTTGAAAACTGGAAAAGTTTGAAAGCTTTTTGAACTGATTCTCATGGAGAGATGCCTTCTTGTATTACAGTATCAATCGAAAATCCCTTCAACTACACTTTGATGAAGAACGGAGGTTATTACGTTTCATACACGACCCAAAAAATGTATTTTGACAATATCAAGCATTGCGACAACGAAGGTTCAACAACGGCACCGTGTTACAAAGCAGCAGACCAACAAATCATCGTAAGCCTGCTACAAATTGGGAAGCAATTTGTAACAGGAACCATGTTGACGTCGAATCCTTACTCCGGTGGTCGATGGGTCACCGTTGACGGTATTTGATTTTCCAGACCTTTACACGCATACATATCAGACACTTGAATTTGTCGTCAAGCACTCGATTGCAGCGTAAAATTCTCTTCAATGAGAATTTAAAATATTATGACTTGGACTTCCAGGAGACGTTTTCAACAGCGGCAACAAGCTGAACGACCCTCTTCAGAAATGGTCATCGTGGAACCCAGATGACGGTGGAATCCTTCTGGTGTCAAGTAGCAATGGGATCAAACTGAATTGGGATGACGATTCGTATACCCGGACTAGTTGGCCAGTGGCCATCATTTGTCGAAAATATTTTGGTTACGAAAGGTCTCCAATCAACGGGATTTATTACAATCTGCATCGCGAACCAGTCTCGGGTCCCGACGAAGCTCAACGAATTTGCGAATCCGAAGGAGGACGCCTCGCCAATCTCTTCAATGCCACGAATTTCGCCGCTGTTGAAAGATATCGCATTCAAGCCTTCCTGTCAAAGACAAGGATTCTAGTCGGTGGAACGGACGCGAAAACAGAGGGAACCTGGGTCATGCCTGATGGTATTCCAATTACATCACTACTGTATATTATAGATCTAATGATCTTTCAGTTTGTTAATCGAGCATTTACACCCGACATCATTCATTCGTTCGGGCGATCGAATCACTTTTAAATCAAATCAATTCGTTATATTCTCTTTTGTTCAACAATCTCCCGGACAATGCTTGAAAGGAGATGCACGCAATATGCCCAGCAAACGGAACGATATGCTTACAATTAAAAAAACTTCATAAAAATTGCTTTTAGGAGATTATATTTGACAGCTTATCTTACTCTACATATAGCAGATCTCCCTCCTTTTTCTAGGCAAAAGAAAAGCGATTTTCAGCCTCCGCCTGAGTGCCTCAAACTTTTATGGAGTTTCCCTCAAATGAAAATCACTGGCATTAAAATGTTCCCAATGAGAACAATTTTGATATTTTCAGTCTCACAGGATTTAAATCACCGTAGGCAAAATGTTGTTTCTATTTATGGAAAAGAGTCATCCACACTCGCCGAGTCAAAAACGTTCCGGTACATCCCTGGATGCAGTAAATCTAGAGGCACAGCTGATCAGTTGTACAGTACTTTTTATTGGATGTCATACTATTCTCGAAATTATGTCATACGTATAAAAAGCAGTAACGTTTTTCTTCACGGTGCACTCTCCTGGTCAGAAAGGAGCTTCTCTAGAACGCGATGTCAAGGGATAATATGCAACAAGTTGGATTTTATAAATTGCCAGGCAAAAAAAAACATTTGGAAATGAATATGGTTGGAGTATGTAATAATCCATCACGAAGTCAGTGTGCAGCGTGATCACCTTGTGCGGATCTGAAGGCTTTTTAAAAACTTTTTTTTCAACAAGATGTTTCTTCAATGATGACCCCGCCATTTCGTTGTTTCCGTTTCTACAGGAAGTACGCACATCTACGCCAATCTCGCGAACGATCCCGATCAGTTGTGGGGCACTGGTGAACCGAACGGCGATGCCATGCAAAACTGCCTTGCTTATACGTTCATTAACACCGGGCTAGTAGATATATCTTGCAACTTGAGCGATGTGGGCGATAAGTTTCTGTGTGAAATCGTCGTTTGAAGATAAAACAGCATCAACAATAAGGGCTGAAAATTAATGCATTGCTGCCGGAAATATATCGTGGTGGACCGGGTTATTTCTACTCCTGAAAGTACACTGTACTCGTCATGTTTAACCTGTTCCATGTTTTTGTGTTTGTTTGGAAACTTCAGGATAGCCCATGACTTCGAATGCAGCACTTTTTTCAGTTTTTATTGAGCATCGGAGCTCGCGGGAGGCAGAACATAATATAGCACCAAGAAAGCTTGACTCGTCATACAATTAAGCCACGTATGCGCATATCTAAATATGGTAGTAGTGTTTAACATTTCTCTTAGGAATTTGAGAAATAAATGTGTATCCTGTCGTGCAAAAAAAAAGCAATCGTGGAACTTATATTGCAAATGTTATCCTTTGCATAGTAAAGTATATACTCTTATTTCATTCAACAAATGGTTCAACAGCAACAGCAACAGCAGCAACAAATACAGCAAGAGGCAGACCATGTATTGGAGGAGAGATCATGCTGTAGATTGGCTTTCCTTCTTTAATAAAATCATTTTGCCTCCCCCTCTGAATGTCTTCTCCCATTGCCTTTCTTTTAAACCTGCATGACTGGCCAGAATTTGCATTTGAGATGCTGAGCCAATAACTTGCATACATTTGATTGTAATGTTATCCCAAACTATCAAGAGAATTACCTAAAGACACTTTCAATCTAGGAAAAACATCTTCCAAAGATTGATTAATCTAAAGAATGTACACTTCTTGAGGATAATCTTTGAACAAGAAGATTTAGTTCTTATTGCCAGGGTTGAAGTGAAACATGACTTCTTGATTTAGGGTAGCAATACATATATTCTGTGCAAAATTAGCTAATGCCAGACTAACAATGAATACCAATACATAAACAAGCAGACCCTCATACAGATTTGATAGAAACCAGACACAACTGTGCAACCAAGACAAGGACACCATGAAAGGGGACCAGGGAAATGACCATAAACCAGACAGTGTATGCAATGACCTTTTCTGATTTGGAGCAATGAGTTGCTAGGAGGGAATTTTGCCTGACATTCAAGAATGTCAAACATGGAAAGCAATATTATCAACCCATCATAGGACATACAAAAAGTTGGTGACAGTAATAAAGTATTGCTTGTCAATCCAGAGTTCTTAGCATCTATATTCACTTCTCTAAAAAAAAGTCCTGTTTCTCGCAAAGCTCAACAGAAAGCACCAAAAGACAAAAACTCAAACTATTATCTAAGCTGCAAGGCCATTAGCAATATTTATGTAAGATGTTACAATGAGTCACTGCTGAAGGGTCACTGCTGCTTAAAGAAATCTCCTTTTTTTGCCAATGTCAAAGGTTTTATGATAACAATTTTCAGTGCTCATGGCCACAAAATTTTGTGAAAATATACTGACTTTGCTGCATAAGGTTTGAATACATTTATTTCATCCAGGGAATGGGTTCTGCCTTTAATCAATGGGAAGAATAAATTTCAATTAATTTAATAAAGTATTCTAAATCCATCATATATTCTTGAATGTTATGTTTGGAATAAAAATTAAAAAAAAATATTTTTCTATGTACTGTATCTAAGATTGGTGAAACAGGTGCAGGTAAGAAAACAAGAATAGCCAAAGAAACTAACAGGAAAGCTACAATGATGGATGATTCTGCATATTGTGAAAAATGTATAGCAGGAAAAATACTAAAAGCGTCTCAGCAAATAATCCAGGCATAACAAGAAGGCATGAGCGTACCCATATAGTTGATTCAAAATGAATGGTTGGCCAGTAATCCATGGATTTTTTTATTGCAGGTGGCTGTTGAACCGTGTCCAGTCAGCCGCCGGTCAGTCAATTCACGGTCGCACACCCGCTGGTTGTCAAGTGCCAGTCAGTCCAACTGCCAGCCAGGGCAGTTCTTGGCCTCGCCAATCCCCAGCCCACCAAACTGCGGTTTGGTCACCCAATTGTCGGGGCACCCAAACAATTGGGTGACAAGAATCATGCTGATTTTTTTCAGAATTCAGTGAGCAGAATCGTATCCTAGCACAGATTTTTTTATCTGTTTCTTGCAATTAAGCTGTAATAAAAGTGAATTTTCCTAAAATTGTAATCGGCAATTTTAACGTGGAATGTCCTCATATCGAGCCAGTGTCCCTATGTCAGGCCATTTTAATGATTTTTTTATTGAAAAATAAATGTCCCTATGTCAGATTGTACCCATGTCAAAGTGTCCACATGTGGGGGTCTCACTGTACTGTATAACCACACCCGTGTCCGGTCAGCCGCCAGTCGGTCAATTGACGGTCGCGCACCTGCCGGTCGTCAAGCGCCGGTCGGTCCAACCACCAGCCAGGGCAGTTCTTGGCCTCCCCAATCCCCAGCCCACCAAACTGCGGTTTGGTCACCCGATTGTCGGGGCACTCAAACAATCGGGTGACAAGAATCATAGTGATTTTTTTTTCAGAATTCAGTGAGCAGAATGGTATCCCACCACAGATTTTTTTCTTCAAAATTTCAGCTATGTTAGGTTAGGTTAGTTTAGGTTAGGTTAGGTTAGGTTAGGATATGTTAGGTTAAGTTAGGTTGGGTTTGATGAGTTTTTTCTTTTTGTGAAAATGTTTATAAGATGAAATGTTGTAAAAAAAAATCTGTGGTAGGATACCAATCTGCTCACCAAATTCTAGAAAGAATCAGCATGATTTTTGTCACCCAATTGTTTGGGTGTCCCAACAATTGGGACACCCAAACAGGTTCTTTTTAAATGTAAAAGAAGGACCACAGTTTGGTGGACTGGGGATTGGCGAGGCCAAGGACTGCCCTGGCTGGTGGTTAGACCAACCAGCACTTGACAACTGACGGGTGCGCAACCATGATTTGAATGGCTGGTGGATGACCTGGTACCCTGTTGAACTTGCAGGCTAACCAAGAAGGAGATCAAGTAGGCATAATGACATTTGAAACCATGATACAATCCCTTTTTAACATGTTCCTTGTTTTGAATGAGTGTCTGTATACTGTATTCTACTTTTTGTACAAATTTATAATTTGCAAAATTTTTAATTGATCGCGTTGCGCACAGCTTTCTATATGCATTATATCTATCCAAAGACACAGCTGTTGAAGGCGATTTTACAGCAAAATTATATCTTCTAAAAATATTTCTGCAAAAACCAAAAAACACTTTAAATATATTTCACTGCTTCACTTTCAAAAATGCCTTCAATTTACAGAAAATGTGCATTGCTGGCAATTTCACACAATTTTCAAGATTTGAGGGCACTGAAGGAGTGTCGTCATCCACAATTTGCTATGTAATCCTTATTTCTCTCAGAATAAAAAATAATTTGATCTTGAATTTCCATCCATGAAACCTGTTTTTACAAAATACTTCCCGCCAGTTACTTCGTGGATACCAAAAACAGGGATACCAAGACACTATACTGCTGATGCATGGATGTGGAATATGACAGCAAAATATATTAGCTTGTGACCCACATTGCAGCAATCACGATTTGAGGATTTTATAAATGTTTTGGTAGGCACCTTCAAGATATGCCCTTCATTGACAGAAAACACCCAAGTTTCCGGATATCACATATTCATCAATTGTCAGGAGGAATTGGAGGAGTTGTGTACTGAAATAATAAGTTTTTCCTTCAAACTCTCTCATATAATGCCAACCTGAACATTGCATTCTATAAAAATGGAACTGAGACATGTATTGCTTCAAGTGATGGTCAGTTCAATGGACTGTACATTTCATCCCAATGCAAAAAAGTAGGCATGATAAGTGTATAATGTGAAAACGAAGTGTGGAAACACTTCTGCAAAGACATGTAGATTTATAATCGTGCTTGCAAAACACATCTCAGGTGGAGGCATTTCTGCTGGAAAGGTTTAAATGATGTCTGAGCTTGTTTTTGTTTTTAAAGCTACTTGATAGTGCTACGAGTTCTGCCTTTATGAAATTTGCGAATCATCAAGCCTGTTCCAGGAATCCAACAAATAAATTAATTCAATTTATGATGTTCCAATACTCTTTTGCATCTGTGCGGCTCTGTTATCTAGAAGACAAATATTTGTTCATCGTCAGCGTGATGTTAGCAAGGAGTTAAGGACACAGTACTTCTGCTAATAATAGCCTTTTTAACATACTTAATGGTGAAATCATGCCTCAGTGCTGCCATGGCCCTGAAACAGTGGACTATTAGGGCCAATGAGACCAGTGCCCCTCAAACAAAAAGCAAGTGAAGCAGAGCCACATGGAACCAATTTTATGGGTAACCAGGGCTGGATTTTTGTTAGCACTAAGTATGTTGGTGTGCAGTATTTTGGTTCATTATTCCCACAACTTCAGGTGAGGTAATTTTGAGAATGCCTCAGCAAAGACAAAATGTGTGCAACAGAACAATCAGCCTGAGATTGGCCGAAAACTGTAATCATGTCATCTTTAATCATGCATCATCAATAATCACAATTATAGGACAATTTCCGTATGTAAATTCTCCCTACAAGAAAATTTACATAAAAATTTTCCATCTGGCACCAATTTGTAATTACCATGATGCTAAGAAAATTGGCGAATGAAATTTTACCAGCAATGATGGATGCCAGAACAATCTCTTCATTATGCAGGTGGTATCGTGCAATGACAGTCAAACTTTCTGGGAGCTTGACATAAAATTTGATCTCTGCCTTGCAATTTGACCACCTTCAGCAAAATTTCCAGTGTTTTTTGCTACTGTTTTTTAATTTTACAGTGACTCACAATTTGACCACTTTGAAATTCCACCCTATAGTCTGATGATGGCAATGAATTTAGGTCATATTGCAGGGTACTACCTGAAAGGCTGTTTTTTCCAAACACATAGTCCCCATGGAGTTTCATAGTGTCCTTTAATTTTACCCCCAAGAATATTTGAAAGTACGTGGAGTCCACTATATCTATTACATTTTATAAGGGATATTTCCGATGAAATTTCTCGTGAACTTTAGATTTTATTCATCGAATGTTCTCCACTGAATGTTTAGTGTATAAAGGGGCAAGCATGATATGATGCACAAACAAAGTTTTCTGATAAGCGCATTGTCACGCAGGCTACGCAGCACAAGCTTTTTGCCTAATTGCCTGATTTCTTCGTCGGGATTTGAATTCATGCCTCTAATTAATTAAAGGAAAGTCAACAGCGGTTATACTAGCTGAGAAAAAACACCTTGATATCACCTTGGATCAGAAATTATCCTGGAACTCCACGTTATCTTAAATCTGGAACAACGGAGCTAGTGCTGGACATATGTTGAATTTTATCCCTAGATTAAAATAAAATTGCATTTTTCTTCAACATTTCTCAAGGCTTATCTGCAATCTCTCCACTGTTTTAACAGAAAAGAAGTAAAATACACATAAAAGTATCTTACGGATTCCAGCATGCTTTCTTGGAAGTATTTTAATTTTTTCTCGACTTGGCTGACAAAATACTTGGAAAAAACTCTACAATTCCAAGGTCTAAAACTCCATGATATGCTCAAATGATTCCAATAATTAATGAGTGGTGACCTTCTTCCAGGCTTTCAAATCAAGCAAAATACAAATACATATTAAATGAAACGCAGTTAATCATCTTGAAACACACCGCAAATTATATTGTCACTCACGCATAGCAGATGTAAGGCAATTGATTACTTGTATGAATGAAAAAACTTACATGAGCCTCTCGTCCAGTACAGTAACTAGTTTGGGTACAAGCTGGATTATGGAACTCTGCGCAATCCCAAAGTTCGTCCTTCTGAATTTCTGTCGTTACTGAGCGACTTATGAAAACGATTAGAATTCTGTGAAATCCATAAATATTTCTGCATGTAAAAATTGTACTCGGGTTACACGTCGTTTCTGTGTCATTTTGTCGGGAAGCAAAAAATCGTGGTTCAATGTGTTTGCTTTCAAAAGAGTTTATTTATTATGATAAGCATACAAACAAACCATTACTTTTTCTCTTAGTCGAAAAGTGAGCTCTCTCTGATGTTCATCATGTTCTGGAGAAGTACCCCGTTGGTGATTTTGAGCAGTTTACTCATAAATCCCGTTCAGAACATCAACATTAAGAAAAAATTCCCCAGGATTCGTGACGGCATCATTCTAGCTCCGTCGGAAATCATTACAGTGACGTCGGCCCTGGATTGTGCACGTCATTGCAATGCCAAAAAGGTTTGCAATGCCTTCAGCTTACAAAATAAATCAGGTCAGTATCAATCGAAAATCCCTTCAACTACACTTTGATGAAGAACGGAGGTTATTACATTTCCTACACGACCCAAAAAATGTATCTCGACAATATCAAGCATTGTGACAACGAAGGTGCAACAACGGCACCGTGTTACAAAGCAGCAGACCAAGAAATCATCGTAAGCCTACTCCAAATTAATAAGCAATTCGTATCAGGAACCATGCTGACGTCGAATCCTTACTCTGGTGGTCGATGGGTCACCGTTGACGGTATTTGATTTTCCAGACCTTTACACTCATACATATCAGACACTTGGATTTGTTGTCAAGCACTCGATTGCAGCGTAAAATTCTCTTCAATCATAATTTGAAAGATGATGACTGATTCTTCCAGGAGACGTTTTCAACAGCGGCAACAAGCTGAACGACCCTCTTCAGAAATGGTCATCGTGGAACCCGGATGACGGTGGAATCATTCTGGTGTCAAGTAGCAATGGGATCAAACTGGATTGGGATGACGATTCTTATACCCGAACTAGTTGGCCAGTGGCCATCATTTGTCGAAAATATTTTGGTTACCAATGGTCTCCAATCAACGGGATTTATTACAATCTGCATCACGAACCAGTTTCGGGTCACGACGCAGCTCAACGAATTTGCGAATCCGAAGGAGGACGCCTCGCCAATCTCTTCAATGCCTCGAATTTCGCCGCTGTTGAACGATATCGTATTCAAGCCTTCCTGTCAAAGACAAGGGTTCTGGTTGGTGGAACGGACGCGAAAACAGAGGGAACCTGGGTCATGCCTGATGGTATTCCACTGACATGACTATATTTTAGTTCTAATGATCTCTCAGTTTGATAATTGAGCATGTACACCCGACATCGTTTATTCTTTCGGACGGTCGAGTCACTTCTAAATCAAATCAATTCGCTTTATACTTTGAAGTTCAATAACAATAATCTCTATTGGACAATGCTGGAAAGGAAATTTACACAATATGCCAAACAAAAGGAAAGACTTGCTTACAATTACGAAAAAACTCCAAAAACACGCTTGTAGGAGATTCTTTGTGGCCACTCATCTTACTTACATATAGCAGACCCCCCCCCCCCTTTTTTTTTTTTTAAAGAGAAGCGATTTTCAGCCTCCGTCTGAGTACTTCAAACTTTTTTGAGTTTCCCATAAATGAGATTCAGTGGCATTCCCAATGAGAACAATTTTTATATTTTCATTCTCATGGGGTTTGAATCATTGTAGGCAAAATATTGCCTTTATCGATCCACACTCGCCGAGTCAAAATAGTTGAGGTCCATCCCTGGATGCAGTGAATCCAGAGGCACAGAGCTGATCAGTTATTCAGTTCTTTTTATTGGAGTTCAGCTGTTCGCGAAATTATGTCATCTACGAAAAAAAAAGAGCAGTAAATTTTTTCTTCACGGTGCACGCTCTTGGTCAGAACTTCTTTGGAACGCGATGTCAAGGTATAATTAATATGCAACAAGTTGGATTTCATCGATTGCCATGCAAAAAAAAAATGAAAATAAGTATGGTGGGAGCATGAAATAATTCATCACGAAGTCAGATGAGCACGTTGTGCGAATCTAAAGGCGTTTCGGAAACTATTTCTTTT